ATATATATATATATCCAATGTTTTAAAAACCAGTTTTTTAATTGAACTGGTATGGTGGCCGGTTCACGGTTCAACAGGTTTAACCAGTCCGACCGTCGGTTCGACCGATTTTTATAATTTTCATCTTTTTTTTTTTCTATTTTCCTATACACACATAGACATCCATAAGTTTAAACATTAAAAAAACACATTAATACAAGTAGAAGACCAATCCAAATACATTAAAAACAAATAACTGTAAGTTTTACATCAATCTACGTACATTAAAAATAAAATAAAGTATAATACAAAAACAAAATATAGGTTTAGATGAATAAAAACACATTAAAAAACTTTATAATATTTATCATGCGATTTTATGCAAAAAAATATAAATAGATGTGAAAAAGATAAAGTTTGTTATGAAAATGATTCATTTCCATGTGTTTTTATTTAATTTAACCGGTTCATCCGGTTTCATTTAATCGGTACAACTGGATTTTTTAAAAATCGGACGGTTCATTTCGATTTAGAAATAGATATAAAACGGATGCTAGTTGAACCGTTTCCTCATCCGGTTCCCGGTCTAACATGTTCGACCGGCCGGTTCAAACCGGTTTTTAAAACATTGTATATGACACCAAGGTATGCAACTCTATGTCTATGTAAAATGTAATTATTATTGTATTGGATTTGATCATTAAGTAATGTATATCTTGTTTAAGTAGACATTTTTATCTTTTATGATAAATATTACTTTATGACACACATCAAAATTGTGAAATGTTAATATTGTAAAATGGTCGGGTTAATGGGTCGGGTATAGTTGATTCGGTGGATACGAGTATGGATTCGATTATTCAAAACTTTGAGGGTTATTGAAGCGGGGCGGGTTATGTTTTTAAATTTTTTAAAGGGTTTGGATCAAAGGTGATTCGCTCCAAACCCGCCGCATTGACATGTCTATGAAAGATGAATCACATGGTATTTAAAATTTAAAAAAATGAAGAATAAATACACGCATTCGAAATCCACACAACAATTTCGAAATTCATGTATTTCGAAATTCATACAAGTTTCAATATGTCTTTTTAGAAAACTTTGTTTTCTAACTCCATATGTTTTTCGCAAATGATATAGCTTCGAACTTATAGTTAGGCAATTGGAAGATTTGGAATAGTCTGCAAAAATACCACATTTTCAAAGCTTATTTAACATTATGATAATCTTTTAGACAAGTATTCAAAATTACCATCACAGTCGAAAGTTGATCAAATTCAACATACATAAGGGCTTAGAGCCTTAGATCATCATGGACCTCTATTTTTGTGTCATGGAGTGGACCTTTATAAATTTATAATAGCCTCTATGGTGTGAGAAAGTAAAGTGGTCTCTATAAATGAAGGTTCGTTATTCACAACAACAAAGCGAGTTTACGTTTAAATTGGGTTATTTAATTGGTTTTTAATTTTCTGTTATAATTATTGTATAGTATGTTTTAGTGTAAATTTTTATTATATGGTTGGAGTTAAAAAGTGGTTTTCTTTAACGGCGGCATAATATTAAAAGCTAACATTGTGAATGATACTTTGACTAAATCATAACAAATCAAAATTTTGAAAAAGACTGAGAATTCAACATCTGATTGTCAATCTAATTTTGCTGATATT